ATTATTCCCTACAACCTTTTCATTTCCTAATATCATCGTTCATATTGAAAAACAAAACAAAAACTCATTTTAGGTATATCATGACACAATGAGCTCTTCAATCAAAACTCAGAAAATATTAAAGAAATTATGAAACTTTGAAGCTTTGTTACAGTCTCAAGTTAAAATAATTTATTAATCTATCACGATGAAAAAAAAGACGACTGAGTTCACAATGGAAGTATTTGCTTTTCGAGGTCAGTTTAATATTTACAACTGATAATGTTTTCTTTGTTTATTCTGTTGCTGCTTTCATCATTATCTATTGCCACAATTCCACATTGGAAATAAGTACTGTATTAATAATATTTCATGTGTTATCCTCGGTAAAAGTTTATAGCTATGTGTGTGCATATAATGTATGAAAATTTTACTCAATAAATTCAAATTAAATCAAATCAACCCAAAACTAATGCGGACTGTTCGGTGATCCTCACTGGAGAAAACTAAATAAACCATTTCCTTTAGGTTACCAACTAGTCTACATACTGTATGTGAAGTGTGGCCTGCGGGTCACTCACCCACTCTACACCTGTCACTATACCACAAGCCACCTTAACATAAAAAACACTTGTACTCGGACATGGCAACTCAGCATGAGAAACGTGTGTATGTGTGTGTGTGTGTGTGCGCGCGCTAAACATCTGAGCATCGACTGGCTTCGTGTCACATTATTGCGATAAGTCCGATAACCGTAATGGGCTCGCTCTCAATAATCAATAGACTTATCTAATTAAAAAGCATTTTTGTTTTTCATGGCTGACGCTAGTTGAAGAGGTCATAACCCCGTCGTTAAAACAAAACAAAAACAGCTTGGTGGTAATAGTCCCAAATGTGGGTGTGTCGATTTTGGCCAATCAAGACGCACCAAGCGAGGGTGGACACCCCACAGACAGCCAATAGGAACCCAGGAACGCGAATTACTCTTATAAATCTATTGTTTCGGTTCCATGTGATTTTCGTTTATTTTCATATCCGTAAAAATTTGCATTACCTTTTTTTTTTAAAGAGAAATACAGAACAAGAAAAACATGAGAGGGGGGGGGTGACTCAGTGACAGGTAGGAGATAGAAAGCGGGATAATTAGTTAGATAACCGGACCAACAAATAATGATTATACTTAGTTAAAGAGAGGTAGACTGTGGGATCAAGAGTGTGGTTACGAGGGACGTGGTGGACCTTGACGATCATAAAAGTGGTGCCGCCAGACAGGTTCTTGTGCGCCATCCCCAGCCGGCTACCTCCCTTCCCCCGTCCTCACAAAACGCACCCGACAACCGCCATATCTGGGTAGAAATCATTCAACAGATGTTTGAGTTATCCGATATTTCCTCACGAAATATTTATTTACACATCATTTTAGTGATTCCCAAACATTGCCGAAGGATTGTCCCTTCTGTCGAGAATTTGTTCATTAATTATGACATGAGTTTGACGTAAATAGATTTTGCGTGCGTCAAGAGAGCCTAGATTAAGCAAACTGTTTCTATGACAACGGAGATGAAGGTCAGCTACTCAGCGGAGGTTTATGATGCACAACGACCATCTCAGGGGAGGGGTAGGAGGAGGGAAGAGAGGAAGGGGTATGAGGGGGGAAGAGAGGGAGAGGTAGGATGAGGGAAGGGTCGAGTGGGTAAATTCCCTCGAGTGAATTAGATGTTTTGCACTAGTCTAGGCAAATGGCGCCAGTAGCAAATGTCAAGACCTAATTTTTTGTTTTGTGGTCCCTACGTCACCCTCATATAGTTGATCACTATTTTCATATGCCAGTTATCACAATGTTATGCTAATTCTATCCTAGTAAATGGGATATCCCTATTTATTATTTTACCAGTACGTTACAGTTTCACCACATTTTCATGATCTTTAGATTCATCTCCATTACGTACTAATTACCACCCGAGATTTTCCCTAATTACTAAAGTATGATCCTGTATTTCACCCCGTGTACTAACCTCACGATCTCAGTATTACCCTATTTCACTCTAAATTTCTAAAACACGTCTCCCGATATCCTTCCAGTTACTGAAATATGATCCCAATTACTCCATAAAGTTCTTACATTACCACAGGTACTGAAATACTGCCCTAATTTAACTGATAATTAAAATACGTTAACCAAACCCTCCATAAGATCCAAATATCATTTAAATTACACTAATGCATCTCAGTTCCACCCGTTAGGCCGTTACTACAGTCTATAACCCCGACAGCAACACATCAGTCACCAATCAATATTAGATACGGTTGCCATGTACGCCCTATGAAGTGGCTGATTGGCGACTCATTTTGTGGTACATATCCAAGTTCATGTGTGATTGTTGTATGATTAGACATAGACGAGTATTAGAGGAGGGAAAAGGATGTGGAGGGACTCATAAGGGGCATTAATCGGGGTTAGGTGAAGGTGGTGGCGGGAGTAGGATAGCTCAGAATGTTGAGAGCGAGACAGAGGTACGATAACGAAGTCGGGATGACAGGAAGAGAGTAAGATAGACCACACCCCCGAAGACGAAACATGGAGGAATGAAAGATCGCTGCAGCAGTGGAAAGGACGGGATATGACAACAGAGACCGAGAGAAAGAGATGATTACAGTAATTCTGAAAGTTGAGTTGATAATAGGGAGAGGTACGATAAGTTCGAAGGGTAGGCAGGTGTCGGAGTGTCGGGAGAGAGGATGTTGTGGTGCGAGGGAGGGGGGGATATGAACCTGAGTCAATGCACGTACCAAATATTCGTCTTTACTATATTCTAAAATGCTACGCGTGTTTGAGATCAAATAATCATCAAACCAGTGATTAGTAATAGAACAAACAAACCAACCATTAAATTGTAACGTACATAAAAAAAAATATTCAAATCATGAATTGTATAAATGGATAAATAATATAAATATAGGGTATTATTCAAACTAATTTATGCGTAAAGAACATTTATATAAATCTTAATAGCAATCGATATCATTGTGAACAAGAGAGTTGTGATCATATATATATATATATATATATATATATATATATATATATATATATAGCAAAAACAAAGAATTACAGGTATTACAGCACCTCGCCCACGTCATCCTCCCATGGAAAGGCAAAGGGGTTAAAGATTGATTCTGGAAGCTGAGTTCAGTCTGATATTTTCAGTAACGTTATTCCTGTCTCAATATAGTCTTGTCAATAAAACTCACGGGTTTCCATTATCTAACACACACAATTACATTATTTATTACAGTATCTCGATCTCGGTTTCAAACTGTTACAGCTTTGTTTCTCATTCATTATATTACAATCTCTAATTTCACCTGCTATATTAAGAGTCTGTGCTGTTATATATTTACTTAGCAGCATCGATAAAAGAATTTTTTTTCTGGTTGCATAAAAAATGCTGCTCCTTGGCTCCCAGCATTGCGCACGCAATAACCTTGACGGGGGGGGGGGGGCGTGGTTACCGTTTATTCCAGGAGTAAGGACACCACGGGAACACTATAAAATATTATAGAAATGTTCAAACTTTTTAAGAACTACACTGAAGTAATTTTCAAGTAATTAGTGTAAAAAATAATTTTTATTAAGGTGTAAATTTTAATTACTGTATTTCCGAACGGCTGGCAAAACACGATAAGCAAGTATTTTTGTCTTGTGAAATTGTTCTTTTAACATCCTTCCGCCAATTCGCCGTAACCTGGTTTATGTGAAGTTGGCATTGTAGTTTTATCCATATTTTGGTAAAGTTTTGTACCGCTGTTCTCGTTTATCCTGGGGGGAAATGGTAAACGCTTGCATCACTGAGAGGACCGACAGTCAGACACGTACACACAGCTGACCTCGCTACAAACTAGGGGATACTGTATTACCACCCTTTCATACTTACAAATGATTAACCTTATAGGACTGGAGTAATGCCTTCATTAATTTGTCAGTTCCGAATTCTCGCTATGAAATTTAATGAATAGAAAAACTTCCGTAGCATTTCTTAGCATCCTATAAGGCGTTAACTTAATCATAGCCAACAAATCACTTTCATTTAAATGAACAATTAATGTTTTCCTCCATAGGCAAATCAAAGTGGAATTAATAATTTCGGTGAACTCTGGAAAACGGTAACTCTTGCCTGCATTGCTCATTAGTTAACCTAGCCTTAAGATTGACCGACCGGCTTGGTATTTCAGTTCTTCGTCCAAATCAATAACCAGAACCGAGGCTCTGAAGAATCCAGAAACATCGTGTTGCGACATCGCCCAGTGGTAGTTTTTCCTACCTTCTCATTATGTAAATGTTCACGTGATGTGTGTGCACCAGATAACCCAGTTGGGCACCACCGCGACACACGTTTACGTGTCACTCACCTCATAGCCCCCACCCGGTTGACGAGATATAGAGCAGTAGGGGTAGAGATTGAACATTACTACTCTGGTGATTACTGTTAGGTATTCCCAAAGTGAAAAGTTGATTTCTTTGTTAGAACCAATTAAAAAAAAAATAATGTTTTGTTAGCTCCAAATTGAATTGTTCCGAAACAGAGGTTTTGAAATTAGGGATTACGTTATCACTTTGGGTAAGATAAAATCTACAAGAGCATCAGCAACATGACGTAGCACCGTTTTAACTTTTATCATGGTTTTCAGTTTGCATTTTCTATGTATGTCCAGCACTATTCCCAGCAAGGGAGTACAGTAAATTGGTCCCACCGTGAGCTTCACTCTACACCTGACCAGTGCCATAAAGTATATTCTGGTTATTCTTTCGTTAGAAAATTAAATCCACCTTATGAATTCTGCTAAGTTCCTTTCCAATGTTCTTGCATTCTATCACCCCTGAATAATGTACCACCCCTAACATACAAAACATTTAGCCCAGCCAGTGATATAACTTAAACCTTTATCTCGGTTATCTTACCAGAGTTTGGGTCAAGTACAGTTCTGTACTAGAGTAGAAAATAGGAAACATTAAAGAGGACTGAAATAAAGTCTTTTATTGGCCAATATCCAGTTGGTCACAGCCTACATAATATTGATCCTTTAAAGTGAGACAAAGAAACAAGACAAAATCACTAGGACCGCAGACATAAGACAGACAAGACGCACATGTAAAAGTGCGTCTTGGACGTAGGGGCGACATCAGCCAGTCCTAACAGTCAATGCCATACATACATGACAGCATGATGAATACACCTACGTCTTTCAGAATAGATAAACAAGTCTCGGTTCAGTCTAGGCAGAGATTTGGCAAAGAAATTTGAAACAGGAAACAGATTCTGGAAAAGTGCCAGTCATGCAAAAATATAAAATCCTGTAGAATAAAGCATATAACAGGTGACTGGCTGCAATCCCGAGTTTCCAGTCACTAATTTCCTCTTCAAATTAACCAACCCCCTGTAAGCCCATTGGCATCCTACATACCCTCACTGCTGGAATATTTTGTCTTAGGCACTATCCACCTTCTGCATGTGCTTGAGAAGGTCGATAACACGCTGGGAATAGCCAAATTCATTGTCATACCAAGAGACAACTTTGACGAAGGTCTTGCTCAGCTGAATACCAGCCTTGGCGTCAAAGATGGAAGACCGATTGTCACCAATGAAGTCGGAAGACACAACGTCATCCTCTGTGTAACCCAAGAAGCCCTGGAGAGGACCCTCGGATGCAGTCTTCATGGCTGCCTTAATGTCGTCATAAGAGCATTCCTTTCCAAGACGGACTGTCAAATCAACCACAGACACATCTGGGGTGGGCACACGGAAAGCCATGCCAGTAAGCTTTCCATTCAGTTCAGGGATGACCTTGCCAACAGCCTTAGCCGCACCAGTGGATGATGGGATGATGTTCTGGGCAGCACCACGGCCACCACGCCAGTCCTTGGCAGAGGGGCCATCAACAGTCTTCTGTGTGGCAGTGACGGCATGAACAGTTGTCATCAATCCCTCGACAATCTCAAAGTTCTCGTGCAGGACCTTTGCGACAGGGGCAAGGCAGTTGGTGGTGCAGGAGGCATTGGAAACTACGGTCATGTCCTTTGAATACTTTTCGAGGTTGACTCCGCATACAAACATGGGGGCATCAGCAGAGGGGGCAGAGATGACAACTTTCTTAGCGCCTCCTTTGAAGTGAGCAGAGGCCTTCTCGATGGTGGTGAAGACTCCAGTGGACTCTACAATATATTCAGCACCAGCCTTGCTCCATGGAATGTTTTCTGGCTTCATTTCGTTAAAGACTGTAATCTTTTTCCCATCGACCACCAGAGCTCCATCCTCTATCTTCACCTCGCCCTTGAACATGCCATGGGTAGAGTCATACTTGAACATGTACACCATGTAGTCCAGAGCAATGAAGGGGTCATTCACTGCCACAACCTAGGGGGGTTAAAATAGAAAAAAAAATTGAACTTTTAGCAAATTTGTTTGGAAATAAACTAAACTAATCGTTCTATAAAACTTGTTTACTCCAAAATCTAAATACCTGAGGGTAATCAACTTTTTCCCAACAAGTACCACTTCTCTTGTAAGCAAACAGTGGTCAGCCTATCTACAGTAATGATGGAAGTCAAATACAACCGAAATCTTAATTTATTATTTTGTGATGTTTAGCGACATGGACTTGCTATAAAATTGAAAACTATGCATGTCCATGGTTGTCAAACACATTACAAAAAATGTGGTCTTCATTTAATAACCATGGTTTGCACTTTACTCCAATAACATTACAATAATGGTCGAAACATGAAACTAAACTACAGTATAAAGGGCGAGTGTATGTGATATGTATGATAACTGTTGGCAAGGCTGCTGAAGGGCAAGGCGAACATCTCCCCTGGACCAGGCAGGTGTTGCTAAATTTACCCTCCCACCCTACTACTGTAACAACCCAACAGTTTGACTGGAGAGTCGCCTACTGCGACATTTTTCTTTATGCATCTTCTAGATCATTTTACCCTGACTTTGGATTAAAGCAATCTAGGATATCTGAAAGCTTACTATAACTATGTAGCAAATAAGAATACTTATAGTTCTTCAGTTAATGGAAATACCGATTGTAAATCCTTTACACCGTTTTTGAATGGCTTTTTAACAATTACTATATAAAATCTGGCAGACAGACAGGTTTTGTTGAAAAAACCTCAACGTTCTAAATTTTAGCTCAAAGCCAATAAATATATATATATATATATATATATATATATATATATATATATATATATATATATAATTTTGACCGTCAAAATTAAAGAATTTTCATCGAAACGTTATGCACCCCTGGGTATTGCTTAGGAGTGCCAAGTTTTCTACAGTATATGGCTGTTTACTAAAGTTTGGTACCGGGCGTGGGGTTTAAGCCGGTAGTATTCATTTTAAATTATCACCCCAACTGAACAGCTCACAAGTCGTTCTGGGAGTAGGTCTGTTCGTTGTGCAGTGTTAATACGTAGAGGAAGGAACCGGAGTATTTTTGAATAACATACAACCTTTAGTAGGGTCATATTGGATAACACCCTTCTCACATTTGACCCTGACCAAGAATTGCACCCAGAACGTTACCGATGTCAAGTGTAAATGTGACCCAATGTAGTTATCACTAAACTACTTTTGCTACTGCGAGCCACAGTAGTTTGTAACGAGCTTGATATGTTTCAAGACCAGACTCGCCCAACACTGGAGTAGGTTCATACATTCTGGAGCCAGTGGATGCACAGTACGTCAACAGTGTTTAAGATAAGTGACCGATCGCCCAAGCGGCTAACGAGCCCATCAGTGGTGGTGATGATGATAGAAAAAATATATATAGAAAATTAGAGTATAAATGTCTTGCTAAACCATGACTGACCTCTGCGCCGCTGTTGAGAGCAGCACGAAGGACAAGACGACCGATGCGGCCGAATCCGTTAATACCAATCTTGGACATGGTGGTGGTGGTGTTGGTAGTAGTAGTGGCGAGGTGTTGCGAGGGGACTTCTGTAAAGAAAACAAAGTACATTAATTTACCTCCTTAGATCAGATATGCGGGTTCAAGTTATTTTTCAATGGTGCGTCTAAAATATAACCAGCTGTACGGTAAAGGTGAATCAATACATGACGTAACTACTTCCACAGGAGCTGGAAATAGCTCATATCAACCGAGGCTGTGGAGAAATGTACACGATACAGTATCTTGTTTAGCCGGTCACCGGTAGTCCAATATCAATATTCACTTACAATTATTTGAACACTAGCTGCCTTTACAATCGTATCTCTACTACGGTATGTTACTACTCTAAACACTGCAACAATATGCACAATACAATACACTTCAAAAGTGCTTGACCCCAGTGTCAGCACCGTGCACTCACCACTCCGATCTGACTAGACTGACACCAAATGGCTGCAGGCAGCGCTACTTATGGAGGGGGATCTACGTCACGAGTGGTGGACTTGCCAACAACACCTAACACTAATCAATTTTAATATCCAATACTCATTATACAATTAAAACCAAGCGTTTCAATACCCACATGATAGCAAAATTTATTATATATCTTCTGCTACAAGGTAAATAATAGTTGGTTTAAGAAATATTTTGTAAACATGGCAACTGAAGTAAGCCGGCACTGCGCGCGCTGATACACCACCTCCCTCCCTCCTTGAGTGACCTTCAAAGCCGGGCACAGAGGACAAGTTCAAGCCTAACTCCTAGACTAGAAAAGGACGTATACCTTGCCAAAATGATAAGCATGCAAAAATTATATATACAAATTACACTACACCCTACAAAAATGGCAATCACTATGATTACGAAAAAATCCAATGAAAATTGTCAAATTAACACTTACAACCGCAGAAATACTCTATCATGTACAAGGCAGTACTAAAAAAATAATATCCTTATCCTAAGTCTTTATCATTAGGCCGCACTATGTAGCTAAAGCAACTGACACCAAGGTCGATTCAAGGTGACCCCTCAAGTACAGTGTAAGGAGTGGCCTTTTCGTCTAGAAATTTTTTTACGTAGGCTTACAAGCACCTTTGTCCACATTACACAATTGGAAGGATTCAACCTAGAAACATCGCTAATATACGACGAATTCTTGGGCAATTACCTTGCCAGTAGTTATGCTAGTAAAGTACAGTACTTTATCTAGTCCATAGTATTCTTACATATTTGGAAATCTAGAATCTTTTCAATTTGCAACTTTTAGCAGATAAGGGGTTAAAATTATATCCTACTCTTGTGACAATCTCACCGAAATTGTATTTGCTGAAAGGAAGCTCAATTCAAACAAAAAACCTGACCACTCCCCTCGATCTCGATGTTAACCTTTAACGTAGGTAATCTACAGTTTTACAGTATTGGGACAAAATTGCCTAGACATTAAACAACGCTACATGTTAAAACGAAATTGTAAACGCATAGTCGTCAAATTTTATATATGGAAATTCTCCTTTGCCTCGCATAGGCTGCCGATTATTTAGTCTATCCTATAAATTATGCATAGTTATCTTTATAATTTCGCAACTTATCCGATGCTAACTTGGAGATTGTCTATGAAAGGCAATAACAAGTTGTAGGATATTCAACGACAGTACGTCTTATTTCAGTGAAGACACTACAATATGTTTGGTAATTCACACAGTCCTTCCGCTATCCTGTGATTGAGTTTTATGGGTTAACTAAAATCTTTCTGGAAACTCGTGTCATCACCGGCAACAAAGACGTATCCACATTCTTAGTGTTTAGATACGAAGATGCTTACATCATTACCACAAATATTATACATTCTCCAACATTTTACTCTGGTGCCGGCCATTACACCTTAGGAATGTCGATTTGCAGTTTCAATATGTATGCACCAAAAACCCAATTGAGAACAGTTTGTCAATTTTATTGATTCACTAAGCTAACAATCGTGTAACACAAACAAAGAATATTTTATATTGAAATGATCGTATTTTTCACCTTCCACTTCATCGAACTAGCAGGTCAAATTCACCTCTGGATGTTGCAGATGTCAAATGGGCGTCTGTAGATGTTGCAGGAATTGAATGGGCCTCACTTATTACCGAGAATGAGTGAGCTTCAGCCTTAACTGATGCAGAGGGCGAATGAGCTTCGGAAGCGGGCCCCGAGCCCCTCAGTCTGGAGCTGACGAAACCCATGTAGCAGCTCACTCTGCCATGGATTTCCAGTACTGTAGACTGGAATGCCTTACCACTAGCGCGTTGCCACAACACTACCTCTTCAAACTTTCATCGCGTCGATAACATGAAACTAATTTTCATTGTCGTTTAAAGCAAATTATCATTTATTGTACTTTTAATATACTTCACGCTATTAAATATCAACAGTTCCATTTTTTCGATGATCAAGTCTTATATCCTGTTTAGACTTATAGAACCAGAAACCTTCACCCAACTTAAGTGAAGAAAATCTAGTCTGGATAGTCTCGCTAAACATAACATTTTGGTCTTAACGGCTTGGAGTAATCGAAATTTTTTTCATATCTAACATTACGTTAGCGATCAAAGCCAATGCCATACGGTAACTGTTCAGCTAACGAACCGAGCGCTACGTTAGTAATATAAAACTAGGCGTGCTACCTGGAACCCTGTACAATACCAAGGATCATTCTACGTGCGTCATTTCACATTATCTACATGCACGTTAAGCTCAATCAAAACTGTCAATATCATAGTTCAGATACCTGCAATGCTTGTCAACATTTATTGAAAAATTGTGCTAGGCTAAAAAATCCATTCTGCTCTTAGAGGTGTATAAAGAAACAAGAACAAAGTAACCCTACCTCACTAAAATATGGCTTTTAAACGTTCAAAAGATTTGTCTTAAGTAACGGGTACGGGAGTGGGCAGGGGAGAGAAAAGGTGGGCGATAACGGTACTCCACAGGTACCCCCCCCAGGAGGAGGAGGAAGAAAAAACCCAGCCGATCCCACTGTTGCTATGCCGCCATGAATTAATTTGGCAAACTTCCTCACAATGTGTGTACATTCAGATACGCTTGCAGGCAAAATGAATCTTTAAACCTAAGTGAGTATCCTGACAATACAATGTTACTAGCCAGTCCTTTACAAGACCAAGACTTGACCTTACCCAACGTCAATGCCAAATTAAAACTGCAGCAACAGAACCGTGGACTGGTAAAGCACACAAGCCAAAGCCCTTCACACACACACACCACTGTCGTGCCACCAACGCCAACACTCGGGTTATTTTGGTAACCCTACAGATCTCCCTCGAACAAGCTTGGTAGCACGCACTTCTATGGCAGTATACGGGCTGTATACCCTGATATACCATTAGAATAGTAAGTCCCTTCCAAAGAAAATTGGCTTCGCTTTGCAGAAAACCGGAGCTTTTAAGTACTTCACTTATTAGAACCATTGTTTTGTTGGAAAATTGTCTGAATGAAACAGATGCATCACTGGTTAACCACCAAATGTGATACCAGGCTCACTTTTGATGCAACGTACTTAAGATAAATATGCAAATCATTAAGAACACCCACAAAATAATATGGGTATAACATTATAATGATGTATTTCACTATCGTCGTGGGACAAGTTTCCCCAACCTAGTTATAATAGACATGATCGATCAAAGTTGCTGTAAATTTATATTTCCCATCTAACCAACTCCTACACCGAGATATAAATTAAGAGAGTACTTCTATAACATACTACGTAGACGCATTAATAAAGTCTGCACCACACGTTTCTAGCTGGGAATTCGTCACTTGAGTGGAAGATGCCAAGAACAAGCGTCGTTGAGGATATGACCAACCTTGATCAAGATCACCTCCATGTCAAGGTTATCTGAATTCTTCACAACACAATATGGGGAAACAATGAAAAATAATCACGTGCACCAGCACCATCAATGTTTCCGATATTTTTTGTCAATGATGGTCCAAAAAATGAATGAGAAGTGTACGAGCTGCTAAATATTGCATGTTAATGATAATACTGTATACTGTACATCCCAACCGAAATTTCCCATATCCAGTCGGTGGCATAAGCCCCAAGCAGTTGCGTCGCCAGGGATGCAATTACCACAATAAATCAATTTCATATCCCATAATGATTCTGTTTCTCATTATCTGAAAGTCTTATTTTCCCCAAAGCGTGAGAAGCTATAGGTGTCAATGAAACACCAAAGGTTTTGAGAGAACCATTTTCTACGTCCCGGCGGATTTTTCTTACTTGTATACCCACAATTGCCTTAGGTGGAAAATTTGGCCCACAATCAAGCAGGCACCCAGCAACACAGCCCCGCAACCCCCCCTCCCCCTCGAGGAAACCCCGCCCTCCCCACACAAAGGATGACCCCCATTCCCCCAACACAGTTCTGTCCTACCCTCCCACAACACAGGAAATTCGTACTGCCACTTGGCATTAATAACCTGGTCACGCGATCAGACCCCTTTATAGTGACCCGAGAGCTGGTAAGGCCAAATGCTAAGCAGCCGACCTACGTTTAACCCAGCTACTAAAAGCATTCAATGAACATTGGAAATAATGAATAACATTCAGTATTTACAAACCGAACTAAAGTAGTTTATGCTTACAGTTCCTGTATAAGGTAATTCTACATTCCATTTAGTTTCTTCCAAGGCAAATTTCCCATTACAATACCCAACGATGAATTAATTTTGTAACCACGTCTATTCCATTTGACAGGTGCATTTTACTGTCTTGATGGCCAATCATGAGTACGGAGTGCGACAAATGTTCCTAGTGTAACGGTTGGATTAATATCGTCATAAAGGCTGCTTGAAAAGTTACTGCTTGCAGTTTCTCTCCACTAACCAGTAAACCATTGTTTACTGCTAGGAAAAATAATTCTGGTAAAAATATCCTCACTTTTTTTGTGCAGTTACATTCATAACGACCAAGTATGTAATATCAGCTAATGTACGTGACAACTGGGGGAGGCGGGAGGGAAAATATTTGAATCAGTGGATCGATTTTTTGCGTTTCAGAGCAAAACAGTCATTAAATTAATAAGTTCCAAAAACTTATTGGTGACCATTTGAATTACAAATAATTATAACTTAATACAGAATAATAACACAAGTAACAGGAGGTATCGAAACGGTGCACTTGGCTATTACCGAGAAGCTGGACGTCAAAAGCCGGTTCCCCAAGTTTAACGAAAAGTTTTCAATAAGAGCACTTCTAATTTACAGTTCAACACTACCAATAATTGAAAATTTAGATTAGGACATGATGTACACTATTAAATACTGATGACATTACATAATAACGGTAAAATATAAAAGTATATTAACTAGAACACTCACCTCCGGCGGCGACCAAGGTCAGACAGGACGAGCGGCACGCACGAGCAGCCGACAGAACATCTAAAATAGTCAATAGAGCATTAAAATTAGTAACTATTTAAGTAACATAAACTAACTAATTAATAAAATATCCTTAAAATATCTCCAATAAAAAAAATAATTGATATAGTACTGCAGTATATGCCACAATTTATTTACTTTTGAAATTTTCTCCTCAAATAGTATAAACTAAGAACATGACTGGTATTTTGTTAAGTTGCCAAATAAATTTTCTCTTAATTTTTTGGAGTGGATTGATAATTTAAAAGGCAGCTAACATGTCAGTCTTATCAATAATAAATTACAATAACTTGGTAGATAATGATTATGAGAAAGTATAATGCAGTGTATAGACATGAAAAATATTTGAATGTTCAGGAAATAATAAATTTCTCAATCTCTTATGTTGGTATAGGTATATACTATAATAAATTTTAAGAACACATCCAATTTCTCTTAAAACATGATTTTCAGAGTACAATATGCAGGAAAAAACTTTATACTTTTAAAGAATATGCTTTCACTGATTATTCAAGCTAGTTATACTAGTAGATTGTAAAACCAAACATATGAAATAACAATGTTTATATTTTCTTAATGTCACTGAAAAATAATACTTAACGAGTCCTATATCCAAATTGATACACTAATCGATATTGACATTTTCATCAAATTATGGACTCTACAAGTTTTTATAGCAATAAGATTAACTTTATATTAATGAACTCAAAATCAATGAAGATGGTATTGTAATATACTGAGGGAAGCATATTTATCAGGAGTATTGTAATTATTTTTGTGTAATATGAGAGGTGGATACAATGGCTAGGGATGGGACGACGTGGCCAATACTACAAAAATACCACGAACTGGATCTCTACTCTATTTTCTATTCATAATTGAATGAACCGAATCTAGCCTAACCTAACAATTCTCAGGTAGTTTAGGTTTGGCTAGTTTATGATGCCTTAATAATATATAAGCTATGGTCTTGTTCGTAGTAATATTTAACATTGAACAAGGATGTCGTGTTCCCCATCTCCCGAGCAGTGGGCCATCAAACACACTAACACACACACACACTCACCATGGCTCAAAGGCCGCGAGAAAAAACAATCCCCAATGGCATCAAATTTTTATTCGGAGGCATGGCAGGGTGAGTAATTTACGTAAGAATTTATAAGTGTATATGTATTTATGTTGGTGTGTTACTTCGATTTATATTAAGCATGAGGTAGTTGGAGCTGATCACCTGATAGCTGCGTTTCCATTATTATTATTATTATGAACTGTATTACGCAAGATGTTAGATTTTGCTTGTATTTCTTAGATTAAACACCGCCATACAATAGGATATTATAGATCTACCCCCAAAATAAGCCATGACAAGGAAGTTTTTGTTGTATAAACGAATATGCATTTTCCGGCTTGACCTGACAGGTATTACAGCTGGGAGTGGGACCTGACCGATCACTTCGGGCGCAGGAAATTTGCTGTGTTCCTTGTCAGGCACTCGAGAGAAAAAAATAAAATAATAAGGCTTATTACCTCTACGATTATAAAATGATGGAGTATTTGATGTTGCAGATTTTATAATACTCTTGAATGCTTTCCTTCAACAAAATTCCCCCAAATGACAATGAGTTGCAATTTTCTTGTAATTATTTTGGCAAAAATTTTGTCCTAACCTAACGTATACAGTATCTACATCATCTCGCTAATGCCATTTTCATTGTTTACTACTGACAACCGTTTTACACACATGAATGCTTCACACCTTTAGTTCTATACACAGGAACACTTTCAGCAACAGCTACATTGTACGATTTATTAAAGATATGATGAAATAACTTAACCTACCTACAGTACCTATCACAGGACAGAAGTATATTTTTTTTTAGGTTAAGTAAGGAATGAAATGTTGCTGGGGGCATATGGTCACTAGGAAATGTTTGCCAACAGACAATGAGCTGCAAATGATGGTGGCTAAACATAATGAATGGAAGGTCATATTCATAACCAGAACCTAATGTAAAATGAAAATATGAAAATTGCAATTCCTCGTAATTTTGGGGTATTTTCTTGAACGCTGTCTCCAATAGTAAAAATACTATTCTATATTCTAGTTAACGGTTTACCTGTACAAACATTCCAGAGTATTACCACAGATGTCACAAATATATTACAAGTTTGATCATTGGTAATGTTCACACTAAGTTTTTCAGCAGACATGTAAACTAATATTCATACAAGTTCCGCATGTTATATAGTTAAAGATCTGACTTTCTATAGAGGGGAACAAATGCCAAAGCTGATGGATAATTAATGGGGAGGTTGGAACATTTAACCCCCATTGGCACTTGCCATCATGTGATAATGGCCTTCAGGTTTTGACTGTTACTTGGTACATGGCCATTATGAATGGATGAGAGAGGAAATGAGGGCCTGACATGGAGTGATAAAAATGCAAATGCCCTGTATTATCCTGAATATCAAAGACAGTAACATAACTATTTGACTAATAAATATATACCCAAGACCAAACTCACTGGCTCCAAGACTACAAGGAGATTGTTACACATGAACCCTGTGGTAGTTGACAAAGTTAAGAAAAAAATCTCCGAATTTCAAGATAATGGTCATGACAAATAATGAGCATGTATGCTAGGTTCAGTAACCAAGCCGAGTCAGAATGTAGAAGGGCTGAAACGAGACGAAGTCAAACCCTAAAGCTTGCTACTATTACACTAGATTTAAATTGAATACACCTGTGGGTGTATAGTATCAGACTAGTTTTTAAGATGGTAGTTATGCAGACAGATCAGGACATGGTGGGGGCATTTAATATATTTTTTCTTAAGTGTTCACGAGGGAATGCGAAAATCTTCTGTGTTGGAGATAAAATGGTTTGACACAATGTTAACATGCATTAAGTTCTCAGAAGAGTGTATAAGAAGCAAATTTTCAAAGCTAAAGGTACAAGAGTGTCCTGGCCATGAGAGGTGCATCCCTGGTTGTTAAGAGAGTTGTGCAACAAGTTGCTGGGTCACTTAACATCCTGTTCTGCAGATGCAGGGACAAGCAAAAGGTCCCCAGTGGCTGGAAAATGGCATATTGTATGTGGGTCCTATATTCAAACAGGGAGATTGCCACTACATGAAAAATTATAGGCTGGTGAGTTTGACCAGCATAATGTGTAAAGTACAGTACTGTATTAGAGAGCATTATAAACATTTCAGAAGGCACTACAGTACTGTAGAGTGCTCATACCTGTAGCCTCACAAAACAATATTTTATTTATCTGGCAGTAGTGGTGAACCTTGTGTATTGTATAGTTTACAGTACTGTACCTGTAGTTCTAATTTTTTCTCAATTTTCATCAGTATGGGTGCCACCTGCTTTGTGCAACCCCTCGACCTTGTCAAGAACAGAATGCAGGTTGCAACAAGTAAAGAGCACAAGACAAGTTATCATGTGATAAAGCATGTCATCAAGAGTGAGGGACTCTTCTCCCTGTACTCTGGGCTCTCTGCGGGTCTCCTACGCCAGGCAACTTACACTACCACTCGTCTTGGCATCTACACATGGTTGTTTGAGAAAGCTTCTGGGTAAGCAGCTATACTAAATGTTAGATTTTTGGTTCTCTTTGGATGGGAATGAAAAAAGGTTAGATATACTGTATATAGAATAGAGATCACTTTATTTTCAGTTCAATACATTGAAAACCTTTATACCTTGTAGTGTAATCATTTGTATGTTTTCTCCATATTCTGTACAGGATATATCACAGTACAGTACCTATTCGAAAATTCTTACTATTTATTCTGTAATAATAATTGTCTTTTCAATTTGATATTTGAATCTTTTTTTTTTTAGGATTTCTAGGCAAGTATTATTGAGTAAGTGGTCTATCTCTGCAGGCCCAATGGTGAACCTCCCAATTTCTTGGTCAAAGCAGGACTAGGGATGACAGCTGGTGTTGCAGGAGCCTTTGTGGGTACTCCTGCTGAGGTTAGTGGTTGACTTTTTTCTTGGTCTCTTTTTATAATTATTAGCCTTTGTAATATTTTTCTGGCAGTACTGTATCATTAATCTTAGAAATCCAGTGAGAAATAATGTACATCTCTGATTATGTGGCAGTTTTTATATATACAAGTATTGAATGTTAGTTTTCTTATGCTTTACATACTATATAGTGTTCTTGTTCAGTTGTAATTAGTGTTTTTGGTATTTGAGGAAGAGGAGGCAGGAGAGAAGTAGAGATAACTTCTATAGTAATGTAGTACTATAGTAATAAACAGTATTAGTAAAGCAGTATACAATTTTTAGGAGTGAATAGTCTTTTCAGAACAATTTGATTTCTGAAGAATGAAGGTCATTAATAATTAACTTGGCGCTGAAGGAATTACTTGCTTCAATTCTATTGGATATTTGACAACATTTAAACTTGTTAACCCTTAAATGGTGGCAATTGTAATCAGACAGCGAGTGCATTTTGTTCCACAGTGACAGTGATCATTCCAACTTTGCCTTCCCCTTGTTGGTCCCTCCCTGCACCAGTAGTAGTGTTTGTTGTTGCGGGAAAGACCCTTTGCTGCAGTAGTGTTGTCTTGACAGCCATAAAAATAAGTAAAATATGGGAATCAGAGTCAGGGCAAGATTGAAAACTGGTTGATTCACTGAGTGAATTCAGCAATAGTGACGCTGATGAACTTGACATCAGCATAGGATAAATGCTTGAGACCAGTAGGAAAGCAACATACAGTGGTAGTGTTTCTCTACGTGTTTCATGTGTACCAGGTAGGAGTGCATCACCAACATGTGCACAAGGTATTAGTGGTGCAGGAAACTGGAATAATGGCATTAATTTGGATTATAATATTGTGTAAAAATGATGGTACAACAACACCGTGAAATAACTTGTTTGTTTTCACCCTTCCCATGTTGAAGTCCCATGCTCATTGTTCGTGGTTCTCATAAGGCGTACTGTACAGGAAATCTGATTACATCTCTATTCAGTGGGCACATCTTGTCTTTGTTTTTTTTGTAATAATTTCTCGCTCCCTTTTTTTTAAACCCTCATCTTTGGCTATCATACACAAAGTCTACACAAAAAGCTTGTCATCATGTGAGGGTTAAACAGTACAGTAGGGATAAAAAATAAAACAAGCAAATTTTTCAGGGATGAAGGCATCTCAGGCTCAAAGTAGATATGCATTTTATGAAATTTGTAGCCTTTTTTTATTATTTTTTTAATGTACAGTATGTATAAGGGTACAATTTTAAATACTTTGTAAGCATGTATGTACAGTAGTCTAAAAAATAATTACTGGCAGTAATATAGTACAGCTCCTTCCCGACTTATGACCTACTCGACATACAACCAACCGCACTTACGACCTGCCTCAGTCGTACCAAATTTTTTTGTCAAATTACGTATTTTCGAGTCCCAACGTCAGAACACAGACAAAATTTTCGTTTGTAATTCACTTTAAAATGGCTAGCAAGCTTAAAAGTGAGAGTTTTGTGGTGCTGAGAAGAAAAAGAGACACCCATATTAGATTTTCTATGTATTATTTAAGCATTTTCGACTTACGACCTGGATTTGGGTCCCTAACCCCGTCGTAAGTCGGGGAGGAGCTGCACAGTATTCACAATTTCCTAAAGAGTATGGAGTTGGGCTGTAATGTTCTTCTATTTATATCTATTCCCATAAAGAAGCTGATAGTAACATTATATTCTGTGTTATACAGCATTCCATTGCACCTCTCTATCCCTTCAGTAGGTAAAAGGCATTCCCAGAGTGTTGTCCAGTACAGTATATAATTTTGTTCAACCTACTCACTATACAGTAGTCCTTATTACTTGTCCCTGCACCATCTTCCCCCCCCCCCCTCTTAATTTTTCCATGCTTATTCTTTGCATATTGAGATATCACCCTGACACATCATGGTTTTATCAGTTATATACCTTTATTTATAGTTTCAGATGTTCTTTAATTTTTTTTTAATCCCCCCTCTTATCATAATAAGGCATCTTGTTTACAGTCACACAAAGGAAACAAAGATGAGAAACACAATAATATATGAAGAATTTTTTTTAACAAGGAACTAGGGTCACAGCCAGTATGAGCAATCAGAAAGTTACCTATATCTTTTTTTAACAGTGACTGGGAATAGGAATACAGTAAGGTCCCACATAAGTCAAATGCATTCCTGAAAAAGTTTTTGTTAGGTGTATTCTCATTCAATGGGACCCATTTTCCTATAAAATCCCACACCAAAAGCAGAGAGGTGTTTCAGCACAAGAATTTTTTACCCCTTTACCCCATGGTATAAACACAAGTGCTGCAGCCCAAAATAAAAGAATTTAAACCATGCATACACATGAATGTATTTATAAATGGTAGTGTATCATTTGTGGTTCTGGCATTATTATTAAGTAGCAGCTGCTATGACAAGCTATCAAACTTTAAAAAAAAAAAAAAAATACTAAAATAATAATAATTTAATTCCTTAAAAAAATCTTAGAATAGGGGAACGTCTGCTTAGCTCACAGCTCATGCAAGGTGTGATGTTCAAACGGGTGGAAAACATTAATATATATTTCAATACCAGTTTTATTACATATCATAATAAAAAGGACATAGCTGTTTAAGGGTAGTTGAATTATAGTATTTCCTCTCAGTGGTCATTAAGTGCTGTAATTACAATCATCCTGTAAAGATTAACCAATGTAAACAATATTGGTAATACTGTACAATAACCATGCACTGTCAGTCAGGCTACCAAGGGTCCAGATAATGATTCTGGGACTTGGAAACCTTCCATATCAAGATAGATTCAAGAAACTAAATTTGCATTCCCTAGAAAGATGAAGAGTGCAGGGAGATATAATATAAGTATTTAAGTGGGTTAAAGGAATCAATAAAGGAGAATAGATAAAGTTCTTTTAATATAAGAGCAGGATAGGACTTGTAGCAACTGATTTAAGTTGGATAAGTTTAGGTTTAGGAGGGAGATAGGAAGGAATTGGTTCACAAACAGGGTGGTAGATGAGTGGAACAAGCTTAGCAACTTTGTAGTAAGTGCTGGGAGACTGGAAAGTTTTAAAAGGAGGCTCGATAGATTCATGGATGATAGAGAGTGATTGTAACTCACGACAGGAGCTGCTATGCACAGGCCAGCTGGCCTATCGCAGACCCCTTATTTTCTTATAACCCAATCTATTCTTATTTACTAATAATTTTTGTATGGAAAGGAAATGCAACAGTATTATTCTATCTTATTATTTAATCATATAAATGCTAATTGACGTGGAGCTGAGGTGTTGAAAGATGAACTCGCGGGATTAAGAAATGAATGATCTAGTCAGTTGGTAGGTGTATACAGCTACCAGTATATTGAAGGCAAATTTATATTTGATACCAAGTACTTTGTTTTCATTTTGCACTACTGCACTCGGTGCCTTCACTTTTGCATATGTATTGAGAAATCTTAAGGGCAGCACATTTGGTTAGAATCTACAATGCTCTCTGAGTGACGAAAGAGTTATGGACAGCATAAGTGATACTAGTTTGTGCTGTGTCCAGTAAACAAACGCTGCCATATTTTCTAGGCTCACTGGCTAACCAGACTGGTTAAACTGCCACTGACATCACAAGTGCACCACTTGTCTGGCTGGTCACTCAACCAGTGATAAAGTACGACAAGCCCGACTCCACAATTAATATTGCTAGCTGGATTACTTCGTTCAAGTGCAGTTTTCTAAAGTTTTGTTTCTAGGAATTAGGGGAACTCTTTTTTGGTTGGCTTATCTTCAGCTCTCCGACTATCAGTATCCCTTATACAGTATAAAGCAAGTGTGAGGTTCTGACTATACAGTACTATTGTATTTATTTCTCCGATACCTTGGCATTGGCATAAGGTAATAAAGTACTAGCTGCATGGCTGGTTTATATACCAGAGATGGTCACATGCTCCCAATAAAATATGTTCATCATAGGATACAAATTAACCAAGGAATTAAAAATTGATCCTCTAACCAGCAGCATGGATTAACAGCTACAGTACCAACCCTATTTTCTCAGTTTAGGTGCTATGTGTGACTTATTTTTCTAACTAGTGTCTGTGACCACTGCCATTTATATTACAGGCAAGTATCGTGCTCTTTTGGAGGAGATGAATTGTGCTCAACTTATCCTTGGCGATTTTTCCAATCAGAGCAGTGGCAGAAGTCGTACTCCTTTCATTTTTATACTGCACTGATAACATATGTAGGTGACAATGTTTGCATTGTCTGTTCTGGCTCTTGCTTGTGTTCCTCACAATCAACACAACTTTCATATTTTTTCTATCCATATTTTTTGAAAACCCAAAACTAAGACTTGCTGTGTGCCAATTGTTTTTATACACATACAGTATGTCTACTGATGTACATTTTTGTATCATTGTTTTCTTTCAACATATTACTAATCTGCTTTTCAAAAGGGTTTTGAAATGTACTGTACTGCAAGTTACAAAGCTTCTAAAGGAATTACAGTACAGTCCTATACTTTGTTTTTCAAAGTTACTTGACTAGAAATCAACACCTGCTTACTATGACCACAGTTTTTACATGAATGGCTTACCAGAACTTGGTATAAGTTTTGCACGTTTATTCATGTGATAAGATTGCATATACCTGAACCATATAGTTTATTTATTTTTTACATTTACCTGTTTACAATTGAGTGCTTCTTTGAGATACACACTGCAGCTTTTTAAATAAAATAATTGCAAGATTATTACATTCTAGTCACACATCTAAGTAATTACATTGGAAACAAATTTAAACAAAGAACAGATTACTGAATTGGTTGAGAACCCCCTCAGCTGATGCTCAAAACAATAAAACGTGATATTTGTAACTAGTTCCCTGTACTGCATATATTATCAATATGTTAAATAAATGTTAAAATAACTAATAATTTTAATATAAAACATGCAAAAATATTTAAGAGGTATTTACTCCATTGGAAACATAGAACAGATTACTGAATTGGCAGACTGGGCCATCAGCTGACCAGCTGATGCTCACAACAAAATGTGATTTTCGTAGGGATTTCATCAATCAAATTTTTGTTCGTTAACCGAATTGATGATTCTTATGGAAGGTAATTCGTTAACCGAGGCGTTCGTTAACCGAAGGACCAATATATATATATATATATATTCTCCAATATGTTGCTGCAGAACCATAACATGAAACACCCAAGAAATATATAAATCTTGAATGAATCCCACCCCCTTATTTTGCCATTGTTCTCAAGTGATGATTGTGTGCGGTGGTATCAGTACATAATGGATGTGATGTTCTTTGTACACAGTGATAGGTAATAATAATTATTGAGGTCATGTATTAATACAGGTACTGTACTCATCAAAATTACATTTAAGAATACAGTTGGTCCTCATATTACGCGGTTAATGTAACCCGGAGGGTACCGCGGAAAGTGAGAATCGTGTAAAGTGAATAACAACATATGGGATTAATTGAAATGGAGTCCGGGCCGATCCCCAAACTCCACTTTTTGACGACACACAACTATGTTGTAGTAAAAATATTATCTTAACTTTATGATGGCATGCACACACAATTAATAATTAAGAGAAATATCAATAATATTAGGTTTTTTAACACTTACATTAGTAGAAAAGATGGCTGGGCACACGGGGATGGGCGGTTGGTTCCGAGGCAGAGGGCAGATTATTGGCCCTCACCTGTATCACTTGTATCAATTGTATCACTATCCACCACAGAGGCTTGCAGGGCCTCTTTGTCAAACCCCCAAAGTTCATATAAGTCCATATCCTCACTATAATTATCACTATCACTGACTTGGGCCGGCTGTAGTGGGTGGCGGGTGAAGAACTCGGTAATGTTTTGATGACTGGGCGACCTTGTGCGCACCATTTTCGCGCCTCTTACACAACATGGCGGGAGGTTTGGATCCAAAAATGGCGCGGCTTGCCAGCCGCTCTCCGCGTAATGGGGTTCACGACCGCGGAATGTGAAAATGTTAGGTTCTGGCAAGGCACCGCGTTAACGGTGAAACGCGGGACCGCGTAATATGAGGACCAACTGTATATCAACAGGCAGTGAAGGATAAAAACTGTTGAAATGCAGTGAAATACTTAATCCTGTTAATATCTGTAGCAGAACACCTTTATAACTTTTTCTGTGAGTCTCAGATTTCATATGATGGAGGTTTTCAAATAAAATTTTTTTTGCCAATTGACTTTCCCCTCTACATGGGTGGATCAACCACATTAAACACTATAGTGAAAATAAACAAATAATAAAATATTTTATTTTATCTATTACACTCAGTGACCAATACATGAAAGGAGTGATGTGTATAACTGAAAAGCAAAAGCTGCCAAATGAATGACTCTACTTTTATCCCTCTAGTTCAGTCCAGGTAAACACTGTTTCAGGTATCCCTTATCCGAATGACTTCGGATGGCCGGCTGCCTCTAGCTGAGCGTCGTAACTACAAGAATGTGTTCGATGCCCTCCTTAGAATAACAAAAGAAGAAGGTCTAATCACCTTATGGAGGGGTGCTGTGCCTACTATGGGGCGCGCCATGGTCGTCAATGCTGCTCAGCTGGCGTCATACTCTCAAGCAAAGCAGGCACTTATAGGAACTGGTAAGTTTAATAAATTCAGGATGGTATTTCAAAGATCGAGGTAGAAGACAAGGATTAAAGCTTACTTTGGGGGAACTTACATCAGTAATGATAGATTTTCCTATATTAAGCATCTAATGTAATTGCATTGGGGTTTTAACCAAATAATTCGTAGAGGAATTGTAGCGCCAGTAGTTAATAGAAATGAAGAGGCTGATAGAAATATGCACTAAGAGACGGAGTCATAGTAAAGAGTATGTAAAAAAAAAAAAAAATACTAAAGCAAACAAAGAAATGGAAAACAAAATTTGTTAAGACTATATTACAGGTAGTCCCTGATTTACAAAACTTTGAAGTACAGTACACTGTAATGATATTGTTTTTGTTTCAAGCTTTGATTTACGAACAAAAACTGTGATGTTATAGTAATAATTATCGTAATATATGCTAATACGTACAGTACAGTATAGTCTCGATTTACTCGGTCAATTGAACCCGTGGAGGTCCGCGTAAACCGAGAAACGAGTAAACGAAATAAATATGGGATTAATTGAAATAGAGACTGAGCCGACCCTCAAACTACACTTTTTCCAACAATACGTACGTTGTAGTAAAAATAACATCTTTATTTTATGATGGTATGCACACACAATTAATATTTAAGAGAAATACAGTCGCCGGTTAATGTCCATTCAAATAATGGACTCAACCCCCCCCCCTCTTCCCACGCTCACTGGCTCCCTCCCTCCCTGAGAAATGTTTGGGGGAAAGAGACTAGGTTATTTAGGTTTAGTAATAAATAATACCTCAGACTATAGTTAGGATAATATAATTTACATTGCTGGATTCCTTGCAAGACAGCGAATAATTTGAATATAAACGTCATATATTTTGCACAAGGATAAAATTTTTGCTCTCTCTAATAAAATTCTTAAATTAGATCAAAAATTTGTATGTCTAATGCAAATTTTAGCTTGTTTATATTCAAATTAATCACTATCTTATAAGAATTCCAGCAATGTAAATTATATTCTGGCTGGGTAATTTCTATGAATTTTATGAGCTAAGAACAAATATCTTCAGTAAATAAACAAATTATACTTCACCAGTTAAATACGTTACATATGTTGCAGTAAAAATAACATCTTAATTTTATGATGGTATGCACACACAATTAATATTTAAGAGAAATATCAATAATATTAGGTTTTTTAACACTTACGTTAGTAGAAGAGATGTTTGGGTACACGGGGATTGGGATTGGCAAATTGTTGGCCCTCACCTGTATCACTATCCACCACAGGCCTCTTTGCCAAACCCCTCAAAGTCCATATCCTCACTATCACTGACTTGGGCTGGCTGTGGTGGGTGAAGAACTCGGTAATGTTTTGTTAACTGGGCGACCTTGTGCACACCCTGCCCGCACTGCTTCCAGCGTAAATGATGGAATGAACCGCGTAAATAAAAATTGTCGGTCTGGCAAGGTGCCGCGTAAATGACCAAACGCGTAAACCAAATCTGCGTAAATTGAGACTATACTGTATACAGTATTGCCTTTTCTTTATACGACGAGTATGTTTACTTATTTTACTAATTTATTTCGTTGTTCTTTAACTTGCAATGTTAGAGGATAAGCCTTCATTACATCAACATTCTTCCTCCTTAAAGTAAGTGACGACACATAGACTTGTCTCCACCAGCAATTGTCCATTCTTTTTCTCTTTTACTCTAATGTAATATGTGGAAAATTTAATAAAAGAAAATTTTGTCTGGTACAGTATATGAACTTTTTGTGCCTCTTTTTTTCACAAATGGCTTTAGGGCTTTTTTATATTTTAAGTTAGCCCACGGTGAAATTACAGTTCTGTGGGATTTTCAGTTCCCCAGACTGTCCCTGACCCAGTTTTTGCAAAATTAGTGCACTCTTGTCATGTTTAGGATATAATGAATGGAGCAATGTTGCAAAAAAGAAGAAAAAATATATACAATCATTCCTTATGGCTGATATGGCCCTAAACTAAGAAGGCCATTATAGCTAGAGATGAGAGCTTAATTTAGGCCTATTTTTTAGATTGCTGTACACTGTATCACATATATGACAAATATTGAAGACCAATTGTTCCCAACATGGGTTTTTATAATATGAATGTAAGCAAAAGTAAAACTATGATATTAGTTCAAAGAGTTATCTAGAATGATCTGCAAGTCATTGAGAAGGATTTCTCAGTCCTTCAATGTGTCTTCATATTCACAAAAAAAATAGTGGAATGTTATGGCTGACTGCTCCCAAATTGGTCTCTGGTGGGGTAAACAGATGAGCCTTTCCTGGCCTATCCGGCTGAAAAGCCTATTATCACCTCGTTGGGTGGGGTTTCATCGGAGTCACTCCGACTCATTGTAGCCAGGCTTTTGATCTGCCACTGCTATTGATGACACAGTGAGGGAGGATCTACAATAGTCTACAAACATCTCGTTCATCTTCTAAGTATATTAATGGGATGTCAGCTTTTTCTCAATTCTTACATTGGACGACTTTTTTTTTTTATCTGCACTTGGATCTTTATTCTTTGTCGCATGAACTTGATCACTTTCAACTGCGAAAATTTTTTTTTTCCACATTAAAAAGTGCATTACAGGTAGCCTTCATTCAATGATCATTCTCTTAATGATATTTTGGTCAACAACAAACAAGCACTGCCACCTGGTGCACTACAACAGCCACATGGCCGAGATTGTGTAATTCAACGATTATTGTCAGTTTCGGTGTTTTATTTATTTTTATTTTTTGCATTACAGTGAGAGGGCAACACTAACGTTCACATTGTGTTCTTTTTTGGTGACTGAAGTGATTTTTGCTATATTTTTTTTTTTTTTACTTAAAGTGCTTTGGTTAGATGATCATCATTGTTCATGAGGATTGTTAACATCATAGACAGTGGGGTGGTCTTAATACATCACCATCATTAAAGTTGAATATCATAAATTGGGGGACACTTTTGGGGGATTAGCCCACCCGGGCACAGGTCGAACGACCCACAACGGGGTCTGGTGTGCATCATAATGTTACCCCATTCCTATCCATGAGACCCATTACCATTGGTGCACAATGTAACACCAACAGTTATACATGTAAAGCTTCACAACACTTCACACCACCAAGATTTAGGTAGTCTCTTCAATTTACAAACAGCCCAAACCCTCCCAAAGCACTTAAATTATAGTCTGTGTGAGGTACACGATCTCGGGATATGTTGATGTAGAGCACTAGATCTGAATTTTGCAGTAAAAACTGTAATTGAGCCTCCTCTCCAAGTATAATGGGCTCCTTGCTTAGCCCCCAACCTTGAGAGTGAAATTGGTAAGATTCCTGAATTGAATTAAAAGTACGTATATGAACCAGTTTTCATTCTGACCATATAGGGTATAATGTACTGTATTTCATTCTGGAGTCATCTGAGAACCAGTACTGTATATTATTATTATTATTGTCTTTGGAGTGTATGAACTCCAATCGCACATCCTAATTATCATGTAAACAAAGATGGATGGCAGTGCTGGCACCAGCCTACATCTTTACTTTAATTCCAGAAAAAAAATCTAAATAGGAAAAGTGCTATTACTTCATCTGATTTGCTTTAATCTTGAGGTATGAAAGAAGTTTCTTCTAAAGATAATTTTCACTAGGTGGCTGGATAACATGGTGTACTCTCTTTAAATATTGTACTTTAATGGTTTTTAGTTGGCATCCTCAATCCTCTAGGGTTAACCATACATGTAAGAGGCAGGGTGAGTTTTGGAGACATTTTTGAGGAAAAAAAAAAAAAAAAAAAAATATGTTCAGTACAGGAACACATGCTATATGCATACCATACTGACAGAACAGTTTTTAAAATCCCACTATATCACAGCCTAAGTCCTTATACAGTATACATCTAAAAAAAAAAAATTAAGACAAAAAAGACATAGGATGGCGAAATACAGTAAATGAAAGGAAAAAATAAGCTATTGGGTAAATAAAATGTACTGTAAATTTCAAGTTTAATCTCGTTCGTATCGGCGGGCGTTCGTAAATCGGGGACCTCCTGTATGTATTATAAGGTGGAAAATATGGTAATGCAGTAGGATGCAGATTAATAATGGAAATTAAAAAAGTTTTGGGCATAATTACTTTAAATCTTTTTACTTTAAACTTTCTGATTTTTTCTTATACTTTTTCAGGTTACTTCAAAGAAAACATTTTCCTCCACTTTGTTGCCTCAATGATCTCTGGTTTGGTTACCACTGCTGCCTCAATGCCGGTTGACATTGCAAAGACGAGGTAAGATGTTAATGTGTAATATTTTTTAGAACAAAGGAAAACCAAATACAGTAATGTACTGTACTGTATACAGTATTAATGTGATTTTCGGGGGGGGGGGGCACCGGTACAGTACAATTACGAGATCCCTTAACTGACATCCTCCTATCCAGAAGGACTCTAAAACTGGCTACTCTAGCTGTGGGCAGATTTCCAAGTTGCCATTTTTGTTTTAATGGCTTCACTAATGCACACTTCAGATTGAGAGAGCAGCAGCTTGTGTACAGAGGTGTTTTGTAGGATCACACTGGATAACATCCATCTCATATCTGACCAGGAGAATTCAACCTGGGATACAGTGATGAGTTGAACATTCTACTGTTTTATCAACAAAACTACAACTCATTTCTTTTCAGTATGTCTAAAATGTACTTGTTCATTATTCATGCTTTACAAAAATTATATATTTTACCTTTTGCAATGTTTGAAAAAAAGAAAGATGGCAAGAATCCAGGTAAGAAATCAAATGGAATCAGGGTGAGTTGCAGATACTTTCCAGGAGTGGAGTTGGAATTCAAATGTAATGTAAAAACATTAAGATTTACTGTAAACAGTTTGATAGTTTTTAAGAGGGGAATATTTTTTTTTTGGTTAAACATCAATATTTACATAATGATTTTTAACCCAATAAAAATAATATGATCCTGGTTTAATGCCTATGTATGTTTTTTAACTTATACAATGGTAATGGCCAATTCATGTTTTATTAAAAAGTCACTGGTTTAAAAACTGGGATTCCCATAACCATGGACATGTATGACTAGGACTAAAATACAGAAACTAGTTTATCTTGAATGCCCATTTTATAACGAAGCATGGATCAGGTGACTCAGATCCTTCCCTTTGGGTGCTGAGGTAAGCTGGACTACTTGCACTACCCAGCTTGTAAGCAGTATCAACATGAGTTACAGAACACATGTATGTTAGCACTTGGTGAAGACCTTGCTTGTGCCAAATTGGCTACAGTTTAGCTGGGAAGATATTTTCTTGAATTTTGTTTTTGTCACACTTGGTGGGGGGTTTCCTGGGAACCCCAGGTGTCATACTATTGGCTTGTTGACATGAGTAACTCAATCCTTTTGTTATAAAATTGGAAGAGCAGGATGAATCCTTCATTTGTTGTATATACAAGCTAAGGTACAGTAATTAAATTTTACAGAGTAATTTTTTCTTTCTAGAATTCAGAATATGAAGATAATTGACGGGAAACCAGAATACAAAGGTGCTGTTGATGTTCTGTACAGAGTCATTCGCAACGAAGGCTTCTTTGCCTTGTGGAAGGGCTTTACACCATACTACATGCGCCTCGGTCCACACACAGTGCTCACTTTCGTCTTCCTGGAGCAGATGAACCTCATGTACAAGAAACATGTACTGGGTGATGCAGCAGCTAAAGGTGGTGGACTTTAGTTACTCATTATTTAGGAAAAATGTAGTCAAACATGTAGATGGATTTCTTTTCTTTTTGTTTCATGGTGATTGAACTTGTTGCCTTGATTGCTTACTAAAGAAGATGCCTCTTAAATTTTATGTCATCTTCTAAAACTATTTTGGGCCAGGATGTTTGATTATTTTAACTTTGAAGGCACTTTAAAGAGATTTGTTTTTTAATGGGGACTAGCCTGGGGGAGGGAGACAAAAAATAAAAAAATAGAGGCAAAAAAGATGTTAATCTACACCATGAAGATGTTAGAAAACCAGTTTTTAAAAGCAAGGCAGATTGTAAGAGAAAGAAACACAGAAGAAGGCAAAGCATTCCACAGTTTGACTGTGTGAGGAAAGAAGGATGTACATTACTATAATAAGTTATTCTAATGTGCTTGACATCTACACAGAAATGCTGGGCACCACAGGCAAGATAAGTGTTACAAGCTCACTGCCTTGTACACAGTACACAGGATGCAAAATCCACCTAACATTGCCCGTTAAAGTACCTATAGTGAAGAGAAATGGGAGAGAGATTATTGACAAAGGAGGAGATTTCATAAGATGAAATGCCTTTGATTCCACACTATCTAACAGTTGGACAGAAGAACCACCCCAGGTATGAGAGCAGTACTCCAAGTTAGGATGAATGAATCTCTTATAAACCTGAAACAACTGCTCCGAATTGGAGTACCTATGGCATCTGTACATCATCCCCAGTTGTCTGGCTTCCATGACATATTAGAGGAAATGGGGAGGCCTAGCATATCTATTTTAGAATTTGGCAAAATGGTTGCATCCTGAAATGTGAATGGTGGGGGATCTTCTATTTTAGAAACTGTAATTGGTAAATATGTGTTTTCTTACTGTTGAATCTGATTAAATTTCTACCTCCCCATTCGGAGATGCTGCATAGACCCGCATTGATAGAAGAAGGCATATTGGCT